ATAATATCCAGCTCCAAAAAATTTAAACTTATCTAAAAATCATTTCTTAAATAAACATGCGATACAAGCCCACCATTTTGGCGCTTGGTGTCACGTCATAGTTTATGTCATTGCAACCAACAAATGAACAGATCTAGAGTAAGTAAAAATCGCAAACACCAAATAACAGCGTTCTGTTATTATATTTTGACATCACATTCGGTTCTGACCAATGGTGTTGCGTTTCAACTACTTTGAACTCCTCATTTATTTTTGGCCTTTCTAATAATTATTTTCTTAATAAAAAAGGCATTACATTAAAAAATATTATATATGCTTTATATAAAAAATATACGCTTAATTCAGAAGCAATAAAGATAAAAAAATATATATAATTCATCTTTATTTAAAACACACGCATAATCCCTATTGTACACTAATGTAAATGAATTTTAGAAAATGAACAGTAGGTATTTGATAAAGCAATTTCGTACCTATAACAATATAATGGTAGTCAACAAGTAGCAAATAGCAATATTAAAAATATTTTTATGGTCAAGAATCCAAAAATACCTGATGGTAAAAATAAAAGAGAATCTGTTTTTAAATTTTTTTATTACATTGCATTTAAAAATAACTTACAAATTCATCGTTTACCACTAAATATTATCTACTTATTTTGTCCTATCGATCTTTGTTCATTCTTAATGTGATAATGTTATTTTACAGTGACAATATTCTAAAAATTAATGAAAAAGTGCTGTATTATTTAACATCAAAATATTATTGTTTCCAGGATTGAATGAAGTAAAAAATGCGGATAAGCTATCTCCCTTATCCTCTTTAACTAGGATAAGCTATCTTCCTTATCCTCTTTAACTAATGTGAAGTAATACAATATTTTCATAAACTAATCAAATAATACAGCAATACTAAATAAAGATAATATGTTTTTTTCGTATTTAATATATTATGGTAATTTGTAATTGTACATTATTTAGTATCTACCAAAGAAGTGTGGAAACTGCCTATCTTGCAGAATAAAATATGGGGAGTTAAACATGAAACAAAACAATTGATAAAATAAAATACCAAATAAGTAGGTATTTTAGTATATATTTACAATAAATACATTAGTTTTCTATATATAAGCTATAACTTAAAATATATATATACAAGGAAAATGTTATGAAAACTATGAAAATTTTAAAAGCTTATATGAAAATCTCAAACTATGTATTGAAATAGGTTCTTGTTAGTGTAAGATTGAGAACTTACTGATATATAAATATTAAACTATATACATATTTATAATAACAACTTATATTAAATCCAACAGACAACTTATATAATTTTAAATACATTTGTATTTATCCAGCTAACATCATTAAATTTTCCTTAAAAGATACTTTTAAAGAGAGTTATGTTAAAAATGCTTTTTACAAAAAGAAAGAAAAATTAATAAAATTGTGATTCACAAAAGTACAATATCAATGTAAGGAAGTCGTATATGTCTAGTTCCAGACCTATTGGAGAAATGTTATAAAACTAAATATAAAGAACCCAAATATGACTTCTGAAATCATTGAAAGATAAAAAAAACTTTTTATGTAATTTGTATAATTAATGGTAGGTATGTTTATGTTTAATATCATTACCTTAAATGGGCATATAGAAAAAATCAGTTTAATATTTTATATAAGAATATTATAATATAGTATATGTTACACAGTCCCGCCATATATTCTGGAATTAGGTACTAATCAATTTAATTGTACAAAAATATGAAACATTTCTACCCTCCAGTTAAGGCACCAAGCAGCGGAGAGAGACACGAAATTATATGCACATGTAAATTCAATAATGTAATACATATAATCTGTATATAAATTGAAAATGACTTTCAAAAATATATACAAGTCATTTATATACATGAAAAACACCCAAAAGGGTTTTTTTCATGTGCACATAATTAAATATCTAGTTTATTGTATATGTATATACTAAGATTTATTATTGGCGTATTTTAATTAGAAATAGAAACGGATATCGACAAACAAATTATTTTTGCATATGGCATAAGTATGGTTTAAAAAATTAAATGCTGAGTTGCTTAACTATTTAGTTCTAACACGGTATGTTATAAATAGCTTACAATACAAAAAAAATAAGAACCATATTGTATTAAAGCGACCATATATTTATTTCTCATAAAAAGTCTCTCATATGCTGCTATACAGTTTTTCTACATTTTTTTATAGTTATAGAAATGATGAGATCATCAACTAAATTTGCTGATAAAATTACATATAATATAGTATTTAGGTAGATTGAAAGCGGTGGTCACTAGTTTGTAAAATAATATATTTGAATACCAAGTAGACTAAAGCCGTCATTTCTGACATATCACCCCAGTTACATCTCTGATAATCCTAATGTCAAGATCAACGAATAAACATGAAAATTTTCATTTTTTTCCTACTACATTAATTAAAATATTATAGACGATGTGTATCAAGTATTTTTGCATAGCCGACAATCGCTCACTTTTTAATAACTAGTAAATGAAATATTATAGTTTTAGTTTATTAGGCACCATCACAGTTAAACAAAAAAGCACAAATTCTAGCATGAAAATTCATAAAAATAACATTAGAAAATTATTAAAATTAGGCAAGTTGTATAAAATTTTGTGTCTTAATATAATACTAAATTTATATGTGGGATAAGCAGCGGAATGAGGGCTACCGCGTTTAAATTAGCCGCGAAAGGCACTAATGTAGAGTGAGACCTTTAGAAAAATGTCAAATATCATTGAATGTCTACTGTTTGCGAGCTTTTCATCGCGGATCTTCACTAATTATTCATGATAACAAAAACATTGTGCCATTCCTGCTTAATTATGGCAGACACAGTACGGCTCAACAAATGTTATTGCTTTAAAAGAAGAGGTAAAAATAATAATAGCGTCTTAGATTTACGCGAATATTTGACATTTTAAATAAAACGATCTTTTCGAATTTCTTCGCGAATTTATTTTTATTTTTGGTTCCCGACGTTTCGAATGCTTCACAGCAATTGTGGTCACAGGAGAAGTCTCTCCGAATAAATCTGGGAAAAAATCCGTAAAGATAATTTTACTTTAAAGGTAAAATTTTTTTTATCAATTTGGTTATTATTTGAAATTTAAAACAAAACCCTAATAAACTAATACCGCGCTAACAAATACTTTTTTAACGACAGCGGTAGGGCCTTACTAGCCAGTGGCGCCAACTGGCGTCACCAAAAACGATAGCTCTCATTGACCACCCTATGTAAGTATGAATTATCTATTATCTGAATGTAACTATACATTAATCAATTATACAAAACTTATCAATCAAGTACAACTTACAGTTCACTCTAGATTAGCTTACATTCAAATCAATACGAAATATGCGTGTGATTTAAAGGTTAAATATTTTTTTATAATCTTCAGCGCTTCTGAATTAAACATATATCATAATTTTATACTTTAAATTTTTTTTCATTTGGAAAATAATAATTGAAAAGTGCGAAAATATGTGGGAGATTCAAAACTAGTTTCAAGTTTCAAAACGCCATTGTTCAGGCCGAATGTGACGTCTAAGTATTATAACAGAGCGCTGTTGCTTGGTGTTTGCGTTTGGTACTAACAATCTAGACCTGTTCACTCATTGATTGCAATGTTGTAATAGAATGACGTCACGCCAGTCGCCAAGCGCGTCAAAATGATGGACGTTTAAAGTTACCGTGTCAGTATGATATTTTTTTTATTCTTAATTTTAATTTTTTGAACTAAATTTTTTTTCAATTATATAAGAATGTAATCTATTTCATATATATAAAAAAAATTAAAAAAAGCACGTATATTTCCTATTATGCATTTATGAATTATTTTAAACTTACAGCAGCAGCTAGTCGAATCAATATCTACCCTTGTCTTAACTTTTTAGTGAATCATAGCACCCAATAGTAATGTCTGTTAAATCATTTCTTCTCATTACGCATACTACTCATACTCATACTCATACTCATTCAAATCAATACGAAATATGCGTGTGATTTAAAGGTTAAATATTTTTTTATAATCTTCAGCGCTTCTGAATTAAACATATATCATAATTTTATACTTTAAATTTTTTTTCATTTGGAAAATAATAATTGAAAAGTGCGAAAATATGTGGGAGATTCAAAACTAGTTTCAAGTTTCAAAACGCCATTGTTCAGGCCGAATGTGACGTCTAAGTATTATAACAGAGCGCTGTTGCTTGGTGTTTGCGTTTGGTACTAACAATCTAGACCTGTTCACTCATTGATTGCAATGTTGTAATAGAATGACGTCACGCCAGTCGCCAAGCGCGTCAAAATGATGGACGTTTAAAGTTACCGTGTCAGTATGATATTTTTTTTATTCTTAATTTTAATTTTTTGAACTAAATTTTTTTTCAATTATATAAGAATGTAATCTATTTCATATATATAAAAAAAATTAAAAAAAGCACGTATATTTCCTATTATGCATTTATGAATTATTTTAAACTTACAGCAGCAGCTAGTCGAATCAATATCTACCCTTGTCTTAACTTTTTAGTGAATCATAGCACCCAATAGTAATGTCTGTTAAATCATTTCTTCTCATTACGCATACTACTCATACTAGAATTAAGACGAGGCTATAAAATTTACATTTAAAATAAATAATTGCAATAAGGTACTTTAAATGATTTAGAGTTTTGATATCATGTCACTGTTAGTAGAAGCGATTGCTGACGACAGTAACAATTAATTGATTTATGAATATGGCCGACATTAATTTGTATTTGTAATATTAAATTTACTATGATATATTAGCTTGCAATTTCAAGTAACGCAAACATTACCATTACCGTTACATTACCATTATTTACACAGATATCAATATAAATACATTATTCAAAAAAATCATAATCGCTTCTAAACATTGTCATTACTTGACTTTACATCCTCTTTCTCAGTTTTCATGGTTTCACATTATAGGAAGGTGAATTCAATTGTACTTGAGGCGTGTTCAAAGTGGAGCTGCTAGGGCTTGGCGACAAACAGTCTTGAGAGTTATCTTCTAAATCCGGTATACTTATATCCTCAAAGTCTGGAATATTCCCTGTATATGATATAAGCTGATTCCCTTCAGCTGAAAGTTACCCAATAAAATAATCATTAGTCGACTATAGCTATGTCGGCGTCCATTTGTTTATATACGCCAGTTTTTCAGTTTTTGTTTATATATATTGAGAGTAAAATTTCAATGTTACGTCATGAGAAACCGTCATGGCTATGACGCTTGCATCACTCATGTGTCACGGACAGCGCCGACTTTGGGTCGGGGGGAAGGCTTGGGGCTATTTTTGTATGTAAGACATATTTTAAAATCCTAACTCTATTTTAATTTATTCGAAATTAAATTAGAAAAATACAAATTATAATTTATGTTTATTATAAAGTTGTATCACACAACATTTGAAAACATAAACGGTTTGTTACATTGACGCCCTTTTTGGTAAGGAAAATATTTGAATTTTTTACTAATAACTGTCGCAAATAAAATGAAATCTCTATCTAAATATAGTTTACTAAAGTACTAATCAAAAAAGCCATAACTAATCTAAATTAAAATTTGCAGAATGTAAAATCTAATAATAATTTTCACCACCTTTGTTAATTTAAATATCGATTAATTGTACAATAAATAGAAATATCTACAGTCAAGTATCACTTAAGGAAATAATTAATAACAACTTCATGCAATAATTCTACGTACTAACTATGTATAGGTATATCGACGTGAAAGTAAAAAAAAAATATAAAGATCTATATGTAATATTATGTCGTAAAAAATATTGATGTCTCCTATTATTTATGTAAAATGTATTATAAAGTGATAATACTTTAAAACTATTTTTATGTAAAAAATATAATTAAAAGAAATTATGTACATAATAAAATAAAAATTATATCAAGAGCTTATTTATTACTGGATTAAATATACATATTATACTAACATTAAAAATAATAATAAAATATAATCTAAGTAATTTTTACATATAGTAGGCATGTATTTGTATTTAAAAGCGAAAAAGGGATGGGAATTATTTTAAATAAAAAAAAAACTATTTTTGCCAGTTCGACCATTATTTGGTAGCTAAATTATTTTTTACTTCAATATCTACAACTACATGCGCCTTGTGTTCATAATAAGCTGATTTTAATTAATCGTAAAACTAAATAATCGTGCAAAATCTAGAATATCTAGGAAACGTCATTTAGGACATATGTAATAACTGAATTACTACCATCATCTTCAGTGAACGGGCTCTGGGCGCGAATCTCGTCACTGCTTACATTCGAAATTTCACCTTTCAGCTTCTTCGCTTTAATTAACAATAAAACATTTCATTTTACACACCGTTTTCTTATAAATATTTACTTATAACCTAGAATTGCCTTAGATAATCTTAATTAATGACGTAGCTAAAGATGGTCGATTACGAACGATTGGACCGAATGGATTACGAATAAATAATCAACATTGTATGTACATAAAATGCAATAATGAAATTAATAAAACTTTTCTATATCTAATATTATATTATATAGTTTTCGTAATAAAATTTAATTTATACAAACACTTTACAATAATTATCGTTTAAACATCGATTTTCACTTTAAACAATCATTCGTAACCACCATTGCTAAAGGTAACAAAATGAGCCTGCCAAATCGAGTGCTCAAACGGAAGTCGTCTACATCACTACCCTATCTTTAGACCGTAACCATTAATTCACCCATTACCAAAAATCCAACATGATTTGTCAGCGTTGTATTGACGATGAAGAAGGGTAGGGGGTTACTTTGCTTGCGTTGTATCGCTGGTACCGATCAGCCAATCAAAATCAATCATCGGATACTGTTTGGTTGTATCTACAATTAATATAAACGTAAAGACAACTGGATATTCTATTGCATGTTACAATGGTCTGCCGGACGGTGGTGGCCACGCTTATACAGGGAACCTGTTATACTGGAAATTTTATTTGTATATATAGGTACTATATAAAACAATATGTGTATATGTGAAAAAATTCCAAGCTACGACAACTTTTGAAATTTATGTACGATTGATTATTACCGCTTTGGGCCGATGCAACGTCGCGTCTCCGGAGCGTTAGGTTGGATGTTTAATTTAAGAAAGTTGTATTAGACTCACCATTGTTGCCACTTTTAGCTCTGTCATCCGATGAATTGTAAGCCAGTCCATAGAAAGGATCATCTGATCCAAACAGCTGAAATTTAAAATATTGGATTTTCTTCAATCGATTTTTTATAAAAATTAACCGCATCCAAAAACTAAGATGATTTTATAGATATCCCTTTTTTTAAGCATAATGGCAGTATTTTAACTGGTATAATATGCTCTGTTAGTGGCTTCAAATAGCATTAAAAAATTACAAAATGTATGTACATTGTGCTTAATATGTACCTACGTGTGTGCATAAATATTTACTTATATATTATAATTTGAATATTTAACTATAACAAGTTGGTTTGAATGCGGTTAAATTATCAAAATAAAATTCATATATTTTCCCATTGTTTCTCCATAGGCAAGTAAGCATCAAAAATAAATAGTAAAAACTAACAAATGCTAAAATTTTAAATAAATTTTGATTCATCATCAATTACATTTTGTTTTGTATGGTGTGAAACTGTAGGTCCTACGCTCTCATCAATCTGAGGACAATACAGAAGTTTACTTTTACATTTGTTACTCATTGTATTATTATTGTATAAAAATTAATATAAATCATCTAAAGAGTATAAAGAAGAATTCATAATAATAATAATGATATATAAAACAAAATAAAAATATAAGATAAGTCGACCACGTAGTACATATTTACAAATATCACTATCAATATTTATTAGAATGCAGCGAACCCGTTATTACGTAGCCGTCAGTCCGCGCGAGGCACCGCACGCGCTCTCAACACGTTGCCTGCAACGTGACCCGCGCAGCGCTACCAACATCACCGCGCTAAGCGACTGTTTACCTACCACACGCCTGTGTGCGTGACCTACTACTATATACACAATTTGAAAAAACGCGCCAAATTATTCTCTAAATAAATAATTTCAATTCAACTTTCTTCTACTACAAATTATAACTCCTTTATATTCATTAAATTGCTTTTGTTATGTATATGCAATTATTAAAATTAAAAATATAATCTTTGGTGACTCTCCTGGAATGGAATTGTTTAATTTTTAAATTATAGCAATATGCAATATTTTATGTTAGATATTACTCTTTATTAGTGTTTATTACTCACCCCTAATAGTGTGTTTGTGTCTAAGGCGTAAGTGTCACTTCTGAGCAGCTCTCTGAGGGAATCCAAATCTGTTTGCATAGTATCCAAATGATCATCGATGTCATTTCTGGAATATGAATATTATATATTAATATTATGTCTTTCAATGTTAATATAAAATTAAAAATACATGATATTATTACAATTATGTAAAAATCATAATAATATAAATAAAATTATTATGAATCTACCACCTTTTTAATATATATTTTTTTATTTAATTCAAAGAGGTTTTATATTTAAATATATATGTATATATATAATACTAGCTCGGACTCAGCATCGCTCTGCTGAGGTTCATCCCTAGTTACGTTTTAACATTTAGTATAGATTCCTCAGAAATAATATATGTTAACACGTATAACCAGCTACCATCATAATATGAAATTTCATAAAAATCTGTCCAGTGGTTTTCTTGTGATGTTTTCCCAGACAGACAGACGAGAAATCTAAAAATTATAGATTTGGCCTCTATATCCATAACATTGACTATTTCAATAAGATTTCTCAAAAAATATTCAATGTACAGATTCAACTCAGAATTTTATTATATGTATAGATAATGCTATGCAAAAAGCGGTGTCCAATTTAACTTTACAAATGCAAAAAGCAGCAGTCTATTATAAGATACTTATCGAAATTTAAAAAGAAATTACTTAACAATAACAAAGTTATATATTATATTTTATTATAAAAAGACAATTCGAATAAATATTTATAGTAGGCTACTAGAAATTACATTATTTTTAATGATTATTGTTTGTCACATACTTGTTTGAATTTGTTCCAAATTGGGAAGAATATTCATCCCTATTTTGACTGTTATCTCTTCTATACCTGAACATTAAAATCACATTTATATTTATGTTACTCCTTATTCTTCATTTATAATTTCCAATGTATATTTACTTCTTTTACTTAAACAGCTTTACTAGATTGTTTATAATTCATCATCTGGGTACTTTTTTCTTTTCTTTTTTCAATAATAAGAAATGTGTAATGAAAGAAAACTTTTCATTCACAAAATATTACAACTTTAAAGATACATAATAATGAAGATAAATAAAAATAGTATGAAAACAATGAACATTAATGTACTTACACAGATTGTAACCTATTTACATTCAAATTATTATTAATGGTTGCTAATGTCATGTTGCTCCAGTCAAAGTCATCCTGAAGTTCAGTCTTAATATCAGTCAAATTCAAATTATGTATGCTATTATTATCTTTTGACTTCTTAGATTTCTTTCCAGTTTTGACATATTCTGGTTTTTCAAGCTTGATATTAATGCCTCCAAGCATCTTGTCCTTAGAACTTGAGATAGCCTGTTCGGAAAGTATGGAGTCTTGTAGGGCATTTAGATCTTCTGTTGTTGTGACACCAGCATCACTGACAGAATCATCACTTGCAAATATTTCAGCTGGGAGCTTGAAATCAGCCGATGTATTTATTGCATTAAAATTGCTTGGAGAGAGTAGTCCTTTAGGGTTTGTAGATACATTTTTGCTACAACTTCTGATTTTTGGTTTTGATGATCCAGGTGATTCAATCACACTGTTTATCACTTGTTCCATTGTAGATTGACCTATTGGAGATGTACCCATTGTAGGTGAAGGTGATGTAACTATGGGTGGAGTGTCAGGTATCCTTAAGTAGCCATTTGTATGTGCAATAGGAAATGTCATTCTTGTATGATCTAAGAACATTGGGATTAATTAAATAAGCAATTTGTTAAATTTAAGTCTTCTGCACACCCCTTTTTTATTGAATTTTAAGTGATTAAAAATTGAATTGCACTATTAAAATAAAGTGTGTAAAACAATAAGAAGTTAAGTGATATCACACTTAAATTTAATAAACGTTATAAAAAAAAACGATGAAATAAACAATACCTGTATCAGTTTCCTCTCCATCTTCCATAGTGACATGATATTGTGTTGATGTTGTCGGATCAGAATTGGAAGGAGCATTTGATATTTTAGGACCACTCGCCAAATCCACAGTCACAAAAGCAGAAGGGTCCAATGAATCTTGAGATGCCTCACTGTGTAAAATATCATCATGTGCCAATTCATGGATAGTTGGACCATCCTCCTAGAAATAAATTATATTGGTATTTTTTATTTAAACAAATATTAACAATTGGAATAAAATTAATCATAAATATGGTATTGTAGTACAAACCATGTTTTCATCATTCAAATCATCCAGTCCAATATCCTTATCTAATTTTATGTTTTTTAATCTGCCAGGATAAGTATCTGTAGAATTATGTGCAGCATTGTTAATCATCAATTGATAGGGCCTCTTTACACCAACATTGTTGCCTCCAGAATTAGGGGCCCTAGTCGGTTGCACAAGAGACATCAAGAATTGTATAAGCTGAAATTAGAAAAGTACAGTCATTTAGATTCAATATATATTCAATTCTATACAAAGACAAAAAAAGAAAATTATAAAATTACATTGTTCACAATTTGCTGCTGCTTTATATGTTTTTGCCTAAGTATAGCCACTTCTCTCCATAATGCTTCATTTTCTTGTTTCATAGCACTAAATTTAGCATCAAGGCTCTCTTGTTTTCCTTTCATTTGTTTTACATCGGCTAATACTTTGTTCATTAATTCTGGCTTTAAGAGTATTTTCTCTCCACTCTCATTACTTGCAACAATTGATTTGGGATTAGCAATCTTTCTTTTAATATGTTCTAACAGATATGCATGACCCCTCATAAAACATGGATGAGAAAATTCAATTTCATCCTTTTCATATCGTAAGCCTCCATTTTCTACAGAAGTTATTTTATGAAAACCATACATATTTAATTGCCTTATAAAACTTGCCATATTATTGTGTTTATAATACAATGGTAATAATTCTTTAGCAAAATCAGCTTGATTTTTTATAACAAATGTTTTTCCACCCTAGAAACAAACATATTTGATTTAATTTATATAATTAAACTTTGGTATTACTTTCACTGCCTACTTGACATATTGAATGACTACATCCAGCATGACATTGATGTAAACATTTATGGTAAACTAGCATGCATTGAAGCCATTAAATAAATTATTGAATTAATAATGTTTAAAATAGGGAATAATTTGAAAAGAGAATACATTGAAATTACAAATACATTTATGTATTATATACAAAGCAAATATATACATAATACAAAATTACATCATTATTGACAGTAAAAATATTTAGTTATAGGCATGTGTATATAGTTTAATATACAAATATACATAAATATATAGTAAAATATTAGAAAGATATAACTTATATTATTTTATTCATTCATATCAATGCAATTTTTTATACATATTATTTACATTGTTTTACTCAAAAAGTAACTAACAAGATAAGTGACTGTTTTAAAACATTTTGGTAATATGATTGACTAATAACATTGAATTATCACATAATGATAATATTTTATTTCTTTTTTGTCACTTGTGCTCTAATTTATTTTATATTTTTAAGTGGAAACTTCGCTGGTTTATGTATTATTTATATCTGATTAATTCTAAGTATTACGGTACTGTATGTTTCCCAAATATTATAAAAGTAAAAAAATAAAAAAATTGCTTTTAAAGTCCATAATAATATTGTGTAATGTAATGGAAAAAAACTGTTTACAAAATGTCAAAGATAATTATCATTGGTTATATATTTTTAACAAATGTAATTCACAAGCAAAGTAGTTAGAGATAATGTAAATCTAGGTTTAAATCAATGTACATTTTAAGTAAAATTCCAAGAGCATGGTACAAAACGTGACATGTAATTATTTATTTATTGAACTCAATGACGATCTGTCAGCTGCGTATAGTTTGATAAATAGCAACTTTCTAATAACATAATTGGGATATAGCAATTATGCTGATGGGCCAAAACCATAAAAAGAATCTTTAAAATTCACAAATAAACACTCACGGGGCTCCATGAAATCAAATGATTGGTTTCTGAATCATTAACCAATTTCCATAGTTTTCCCAAAAAAGCTGGGACACTAGCCCCTATTTCTACCACAGAACGCATAGTTAAATATTACTTGCTAAATTTATTAACACGGTTTCTTGCGGAATCTTTTAAATCTTGTTTAATAAGCAATAGTTTGTGAAAATACGTATCTATTCACGAATCGCCATTTAATTTACCAACACATATAAGTATCAATAATATACATTATACACAGACAACCCAATGAAAGTAAGGACTGACTGTTGACAGCACACATAGATATTGTTACAAATGAAAAACACAGAATATCCATAACTACCAACCACTGTGGCTCTTACAAATACAGATGCGTTCTCTTTAATTGTTTTATACAAGACAGTTAATATATTTTTTAATATCATGAGCCATTTTAAGCCAATAATTAATTGATTAGATTTGTTCACTATATTACCACTCCACTAATAATTAATTGATTAGTTCTGTCCACTATATACATACAATGCGCGCGTTTTGTATATTTGAAGATTATAAAAACTATTCTTATTGCTAGAAGATCAATCGTATCAATTGATTAGGGTCTAAATTGTATCTCTAAAAAACCGTTTACTCTAAAATATATGTACAAAACTGCTTTTGCAAACATGCATATCAGGCTACATGGCACAATAACATTAAGAAATAAAAAGGATGCTTAGATATTATAATTTATTTTGTTACTCGTCATTATCAGTTTACTATAGTAAAATAACAGCACAATATAAATCAAAGTTGACTGTTGGAGGCACAATTGATTGCCTGACATGTATTTATTCATTTCTAAACAGTCTATCCTTACTATATTAGGCAAGATACAGAACAAAGATAGTAATTATTAGATACGGTATCCAGTGTTCGAGCAACAGTCAGCCAGAGAACAAGGTATACGTGCAGACGTACAAAAAATGCGAAAAAAATATTAAAATCAATACTAACACTTCCTATTAATACAAAAAGTGACACAATATTTATTTGCACATTGATATTTATTGAGAAAGGAGATTTTTAACATTTTAGGAAAATTTCTAGCTAGATGATTATTTTTATGATATTTTTATGTCTCTGGACTCTGAGAAATATTACATTGATGTTTAATGATATAAATACGATTAACGATAATATAACCTTTATTAGGAGTTTTATGCATTATTCCAAAATCTAATTTTTCTTCACTTAGTTATTACCACGATTTTAGTCATAAAAAATCTGGATATTTTTACATACGTTTGGTTCATGGCTCATAGGGCCCTAAAATGGGTTTCTCCTTTAATACACAAACTGCGGAATAATATACATATAAGGTACATATATACCGAGTGAATGACGAATAAGCCGATAAAAATCTATAAATTTTATGTGTCATCCATGATAAAAATTAGTGCCGAATGGTGCGTCCACACAGGCCAAACCAATGCCAACGAATAAAGCGTTGGCTGCCAAAAGTTCGTTGGCCTGACAGGATTTGTGAATATATTTTATTGCTTCATACAAACAATTGTTCAGACTCCATCAAGGAATGGACTCCAGTAAACGGTGTCCAGATATAACCAACAAAGGTCAAGGAAACCCATTCTATGACATTCGCTTGACCGGTCTGTACCATAGACTATGTCCATGGTCTGTACTCGGCATTATAGTATACAGTACCACGGTAATGTAATGCATAATATTACCCATAGAGTATATTGCTACATATATAAAATATTACCGTGACAGTACCAAGTAGAAATATTATAGTTTAATAAATAGAAATAGTAATTAGTTTATTCTGTAGTCTTCTTAATCTGTGGTTTATTCTGTCGGTTATCTGCCGTTTATGGAACGTCATTACTCATTACGTCACATCGCTGCGGCTGCCTCAAGTTTTGACACTTTGCATATTGCTATGTCATTTTTAATTTTTATAAAATAAACGAATTACGAATAGTAACTTGAACTTCGTACTTCATAGGTTGTAGGTCCGACTTTAAGTTCAAGTAATTTTTCATTAACTATAGAGGATTACATACTAGTGGTTATAAACAGTAATCAGTGTATGATATTGTATCCTCATCTGGAATTAGCCGCGTGTTGCTCCTCATTTAATTTTAATTTACCTGTTATTATAGCTGCAGTATTACCGATTTTAGTATCCAACATATTTGTTATTGCATATATCTAGCTCACTTGTACTTATTCGTATTTATATATTCGTGACCTTTACTAATTTGTTTTTGAATATTTTCAACTTATTTTACAACAACTTGCAGTTAAATTGCTTACATTAAAAGAACAGTCATAACGGCAGGATGGAGGTATGATAATTCCTTTATAATTAATATATCTTTTTTTCCTTCTTACGATTTCATATAAATTACTTCTTTTTAGATTGAAATATTAAGTGTATCTGGATCAAAACCTTTAGGAAAATTAAATATAAAGGAAGATGCTACAATAAAAGATGTGAAGGATAAAATTCATCAAAATATAAAAAAGTCTTTATACCCAGATAGGCAATCTATTAAACTAGAAGCAAAAGGAAGATCATTAAAAGATGAAAGCACTCTTAAGTCTTTAAACATTGATAATGGAGCTAAATTATATTTACAAGATCTAGGTCCTCAAATCTCATGGAAGAACGTATTCTTGGCTGAATATGCTGGTCCACTATTTGTATATTTATGGGTGTACCAAAGACCATGGCTTCTTTATGGAAGTGATACATCACCTCCTGGAACTGTTGCTACGTAAATAAACTTATTTTATTATTAAAAATATTAACTTCTTGTAACTACTAATATGAAAGAAAATATTTAAAATAGATTTTTCAGACTATATTTAAAAATAACCCTTGTAATTTTCAGAGTAGCTGCAGTTTGTTGGTCAGTCCATTATGCAAAACGTCTTCTTGAAACATTGTTTGTACACCGTTTCTCACATGGGACAATGCCATTGCGCAATCTGTTTAAAAATTGCTCATATTATTGGTTATTTACGCTCTATATTGCCTATCATGTCAACCACCCTCTTTTTACAGCTCCTTGTAATACATGTCTTTATGTAGGTGTTGCTGGATTTACCGTAAGTAGTGGATTTTTTCATTATATGGATAATTAAATTAAAAAGAAATTAAACTCAATATTTTCTTGAAATAATATATTTTACTCAACTATTAGCTAATGCATGCATATTAGTGAAATATCTTTCATTATAACATTTTAGATCTGTGAATTGGGAAACTTAAGCATTCATATCTTGCTGAAGAATCTTAGACCACCAGGCACTAAAGTGAGACGCATTCCAAAGCCTGATGGAAACCCCTTCACTCTTCTATTCAACTTTGTATCATGTCCCAACTATACTTATGAATTTGGATCTTGGCTCTTCTTCACAGTAATGACCAAATGTGCTCCAGGTGAGTCTCAAACTTTTGATTTCAAAAACTTTTTAGAATGGGATATGAACCTTTATTAAAGTATCATAAATGTCCTTTCAAACTGAATGGTAAAACATGCACAACACTGCACAGACCTAAGTTATTTTTATAAATAAATTTATTATTATTCGGTAATAATAAAGTGGTTAAAGGTAAAAAGGTGGTTCAACAATAATTATGTTGCTTGACCTTATTTTGACCTTGAATATAATTAAATATTTTATTTAAATACTGTTCTAACACATATCACCTGTATGTAATTAAATATTGTTTCTGTATAGGGTAGGTACATATATACATACACATTATGTATTATATATAGGTAAGTAGAAGAATATAAATTGACGTCATGTAAAGAGCTTATGAAATATTAACTTATATTTATACAAATGTGTATGTGATGTGATGATGTTCTCCTGACCGATACCGGCCATGGCGGCCAATCTCATTGAGATTAGCCAACTGCGCAGGAGATATTATAGTGCTCAAGTGTACGCGCAGGCACAACGTGCACTCTCTATTCCTATTACTCTCATATTCCGGTGGGACCGATGGCTTTACTTGCTCTCCGAGGCACGGGGGTGCAACACCGCCAACTTCCCAATTCCGCGCTGTTACTGAGGCTTACTATACAGAAAGACTCTGTAACTAAATTTGGCCCGACCCGGGACTCGAACCCAGGACCTCCGGGTATGCAGCCGTACATGCTAGCCACTACACCATCGAGGCAGTCATTATTTGCATTGCATTAAAATGTATATACATTATAAAACATAAAGGTAATGTGTGAGTTAACACATGAGAAGGAATAGTAAAAATATCTTGTCTTTATTTGAACATACATATTATTCTTTAATGACTGTTCTATATCCTTGCAATAACCGACCAACTCTACATACTAAAGTTGCTTTTTTAAATCAATATTATTACTTTCATTGAATCATATCAAATTATTTGACTTAATTTCTAACTTATCTGTTTAGATTATATAAAGTGACTAGATCTAAAGTGTTGTCGAAACCATATAATATATGTTGACGAAAAGCGTATAATCAACGCAGTACGGTCACGAATCTGACCTTTGCATCTACTGTTGTTAGTTAATACTCGTCCACGGAATATAATATCTGAACTGGCAAGTGTTTATTTGTTGTGTATAATGTTCGCTATTTTATAGAGGCCAACGTATTTTGTTATGTGATTAACGCGGTTTCTAAATATGTAATAGCCTCTCTAGGCAACTGAAGTTTTCCCTATTATAGATAGAAACTTGACATAAGCTCCATACAAATTATGTCAAATTCTTACCGTTAGTAAGGAAAACCACAGATAGGTTGCTTATATAATATTGTTATTATGATGTAAGTAAACAAAACACCAAGCGACTATAATAACTTCTTAAAGACTTGACCCGTAGTAAAATAATTTGTAACTATGTGGTGCTATAAATGCCACATACGCAAAAACACCTTCAGAAGTCAGCCAGCAATATAGTCGGATATATAAATTACATATTAATTAGTAGTGACATATTCGGTCATACTACTGACACCTTTAATTCAAACAATGCTTAGGGTCATTCTTTTTCACATTAATTATATGTAAGTTATCGTTAAAATTCGGAATACGTTAGTATGCGTAGTAACAAGTAGTCAATATACGTACGTTAAATTGCAAAACATAAAGAAAGAGCGTAATCCATTCATCTCTACATACATATATATTCATACATATTAATCGGGTAAATAAATGCAATTCCAATGTATTATAAGTAATCTATACTAATATTATAAAGAGACAAGAGTTTGTTTGTTTGAACGCGCTAATCTCAGGAACTATTAATCCGATTTGAAAAAATCGTTTTGCATTAGATAGCCCGTTTATTGAGGAAGGCTATATAGGCTATATATTATAAAGAAACAAATTTAATGCGAGTGAAACCACGGGCATTTATATACTTATATTAGATATTTTATTCATGTAATAAAATTCTAACTGAGTCAAATCTGTATATTAAATATTTTTTGAAAAATCTTATTGAAATAGTCATTACTATCGATAAAGGCCGAATCTGCAGTTTTTAGATTTTTGTCTGTCTTTCTGGGAACGCATCACGAGGAAACCACTGGATAGATCCGTGTCAACTTATAGGATACTTTATATCTCTTCTCTGGGACAGAAAGAGAAAGTGCTAAAAAAACGATACGAAAATATATAAGAATAAGCATATGTAAAACAAACTAAATACAATATATAGGTAAACATATAACTATATATACACACTATAATTCCATATATAATATACTAGCGAGTTCGATTACGAGCGGTTCGTCCCTGGCGTGCTTCCCAATACACACTTTCATCCGCATTTTCACCCCCTCAAGGGATGATTTCCGGGATAAAAAGTATCCTATGTCCTTCCTAGTGTCTCAAACTATCTTCTTACCAAATTCCATCTAAATCGGTTCATTAGATCCAGAGATTACCCTCTACAACTTCACAAACTCACAAACTTTACCTCTTTATAATAGCCTGAGAACTGGTGACGAATTTGGCAAGTTAAAATAGTGAAAAAATATAATTTCGTCAATTGTCGAGTCCAGTCCCGCGAGTCTCGCATAGCGTTTGCGGTTATTTCGTTACTGCGCAGTAAATAACATTTGCAAAAAAAATATATCGAAAAAAATATATTTTTGGCAACTTGATTTTTGTTTAATCTTTAAATTTAGTTTTTATATAATTCAAAAAAAAGAACCCCAGACGTTTTTGTCGGTTATAAAATATTACCAGACCTGTCAAGGCAGAAGAAAGAAGAAGAAGGCAGCAGATGACCCTAAGAACTATCGACCAATATCTCTTCTATGTCACACATATAAGCTTTTCGAGAGACTGCTGCTGAACCGACTTATGACTGTTATTGATCATAAACTAATCCCGGAGCAAGCCGGTTTCAGGCCTATTAAGTCTTGCTGCAACCAGACCCTCAAACTCGTGCAATATATTGAGGATGGTTTCGAGGCAGGAATGGTTACAGGCGCTGTATTCGTCGACCTATCTTCAGCTTACGATACAGTTAACCTAAAACGGCTGTTGTGGAAGGTGGAGACCATGACAAACGACATGAATTTTGTCAAAATACTCCGAAAACTTCTTCACAACCGTCGTTTCCAAGTCCATCTCCTCTCAGAGAAAAGTCGTTGGAGATCACAAAAGAACGGACTACCTCAAGGTAGCGTCCTGGCTCCACTTCTTTTTAATATATACACCAACGACCAACCATCTAGTCCAAACACGTCCCGCTTCCTCTATGCAGATGATCTTGCACTCACCTCCCAGGCCACCACTTTCGAGGAGGTCGAGGCGAATCTATCAAATGCTCTCACTAACTTAGACCAGTATTACTCCGCAAACTCGCTGAAACCGAATCCGAGTAAAACTCAATCCTGCGCATTTCACCTTCGCAATAGAGAGGCAGGGCGAAAACTAAGCATTGTTTGGGGTGAGGTGTCTATTGAACACAGTAACTTCCCCAAATACCTCGGCATCACTCTGGACAGGTCACTTACCTTTCGTAAGCACTGCGAGAACATCAAGCAGAAAGTCCATAGCCGAAATCAAATCCTGCGTCGCCTAGTCACTTCTAAGTGGGGTGCCTCGCCTGATGTTTTGCGTACTACTGGGTTGGCGGTTTCCTTTGCTACTGGTGAATATGCGTGCCCCGTGTGGTGCCGCTCTTCCCACGCAAAACTAGTAGATACAGCATTAAACGAAACGTGTCGTATTATTACTGGCTGCCTGAAACCGACTCCGACACCAATGCTGTTCCCACTGGCAGGAATTGCGCCTCCAAAAGTCCGTAGAGCAGTGGCGAGCTCCAGCGAAAGGACTAAAATGGAAAAAGACACGCGACACCCCATGCACGACAATATCCTGGTGCCACAAAGGCTAAAAAGCCGTAAAAGTTTCATGAAGTGTGTCTTACCACTTGGAGACGAACAACCACAGGCAAGATGCAGGACGTGGCGGGACAGTTATAGTCCTTTGCCAATCCCATTCGTTCCACCGTCTGAAAATCTCGCGCCTGGACATAGTCTGCCTTGGCAGACCTGGAAGTCTCTCAACAGACTCCGGACTCAGGTCGGCCGAAGCAAGGAAAACTTGTCCAGGTGGGGATTCTCAGAGGGCGGCCTGGAGTGCAGATGTGGTACTGTTCCACAAACGATGAGGCACTTACTGGCATGCCCTGCTTGCCCTGTTACCTGCAACTTACAGGAGCTTATGGACGCCACTGATAAAGCAAAGATCGTGGCTGAGTTTTGGGCTGACTCGATTTAAAACTTGCCATCGACACGAGAAGAAGAAGAAGACCAGACCTGTCCAAAGATATTTTATTAAAATTCCCAAAAATATACTATTGGCAATCTGAAATTTTAGTCACGTATTTATTGAGTAATTTGCGGAAAGCCAGCGTAGCGCTGGCTAGTCGGCAAAACTCATAGTCCGCCGATTTATAGTTTATTAGTCTTCAATTCAATTCTCTTGTTAATGGCATTGATTGGAATTGAAGACTTTAAGTTAGATTGTATACACGAAATATAATATAAAGAATATTTTAGACTTTACCGGATCTAGACACTGATAACAAGTACACTAAGCCAATTGATTGATACACATTATTGATAACAATTATATGATTATTGTTTTGTATATATTATAAAATATTATAATATATACAAAAATAAAAGAATATATAAAATTCTGAGTCGAATCTGTATATTAAATATTTTTTGGAAAATCTTATTGAAATAGACATTATTATCGATACAGAGGCCGAATCTATAGTTTATAGAATTTTTGTCTGTCTGTCTGTTACCGCATCACGGAAAAACCACTGGAGGGAATGGAGGGAAAGGAGGAAAATTTGCTATGATGATAGCTGGTTATCCGGGTCAATATATAGGATACTTTTTACCACGGGAAAATGTCTCATTTCTGAGAAAAAAATACAAAAACTGCAATGTAAGAGTATATACTAATATTTAAAACCTAAGAATTTGGTTTTTGGTTATCTGAACGCGGGCGGAACCGCGGGCAATGCTAGTCATTAATAATATTATTATCTTTTATCAAATAAGAAGTACGCTATCATCATATTAGATAGACTAGCGACTTACCCTCGCTTCGCTAGGGTCCCTAGGTATCCCCCCCAACGTGCGTTCACCTTATCGTGGTGGGGGGTGCCCAGTAGTGCCCGGCAATACAGCCGGGCGCGAAGCCAAGAAACGCACAGGGAGGTGGCCCACTTCGGTGGGCGGTGGGAGGTGGCCCTCTTCGGTGGGCGGTGTAGCATGCGGGTTGCTCCTGGTACTTCTCTGATAGCAGAGTGGACCTTGGAGCAACCCCATGGTTTTGGTGGTCTTCTTCGGCAGACCTGCCGTCGGGGCGTCGTAGTTGAATGCGTAAGCGATCCTGCGACGCCCCATTAAGACGGGGGAAAGTTTTGTTGGGTTTTAGTGGGTAGTACTGGCTTTATTACGCCGGTGAGTCCCACACCTCGTGCGTAAATGCATTTTCCAACGTTAAAAAAAAGGGTCCCTAGGTGTGTTTTTTTTGAACGGAACCCTAATTCTTTCTCTAAAATAAAAGTAGCATAAGCTACTCCTTATAACATCAGCTATCTGCCAGTGAGTGAGCCAAGTTTTTCAAAATCAATCCAGCCGTTTCGAACATTAGCCGGATCAAACACAAAGACAAAAAATTTAAAAATTGAGTTTTTTCTTATAAGTAGGTACGGTGTATAATTTCATACGCATTTAGTAAAGAGAATTTATTTCAACATTGCAAACAGATGCTTTGATTTTATTTTTCTGTATAGATGATAATATTGTAGATATTACATAGAATACCACTGTTTATTTATGAGTACAAATGCTTTTTTTTCGTATTTTTCAGCGGGAATATTCGCAGTGGTTGGTCTTTATCAAATGTCAGTGTGGGCTCTCGGCAAGCATCGCAACTACAAGAAGGAATTCCCCGACTATCCCAAAAGCAGAAAAGCTATCTTGCCTTTTATTCTTTAAACGATTAAATCTTTATACGTAGTTTTATTACGCATAGCCTATTTTTAGGGTTTATTGAACTGGAATATTTCAATAGAAATGTTATGTTGGGTTTATTTCGCTATGGCGGTAATGATGTATTGTTCTTTTACATAATATTATGTACTGTATGGTGATGGAATTTTAGTTCGAATATAAGCTTTAAGCGCTTGTCTGTTTTGTTACAATTGTTTTGCGCATGTTGTGTACTACTCATAATTAGACGGGGATTTTATGTTATTTAATATAATTGAAGCATTTAGTAAAATAATACACCATGTTACTAAACTGGCACTTTTATTTCATTTTATTGCAAACAAATTAAAATATTTTTTTAAGTAATTTATATGTAACTAGCGGACCCGACAGACGTTGTCCTGTCTACACGTCTTTAATTTGAAAATTTCAAACTTTTTTTAATAATTTTTTTGATGAAAATTATTATTCAAATTGTGAATCTAAACCATTCCCATATCCCCTTGAACACACAAAAAATTTCATCAAAATCGGTCCAGTCGTTTGAGAGAAGTTCAGTGACATACACACTCACAGAAGAATTATATATATAAAGATGTATGTATTTTTAATAATCTTTTTTTTATCAAATAGCACCTATAGTGATCTATTTTAATTAAAAATCCAATTGTAAGGCTGGATAATTAATATTTATTGTACAGTTAGATCTAACAAATTACTGAATAGAAACAACACCTAACAAAAAATCGGCTACAAACAAAAAAGGCATTAGGTAACCAAAAACATTAAATTTACTATATGAAATGAAACAACGACAGAATGATGAATATTAAATATGTATTATTATTGTAATATTAATCTACTTTGTCTCCACTACAATTTCCGTTATCGTGTACTATTTCATCCATGCACCTAGCTTTTTCAAGCAAGCGTTCATTTTCTTCTTTAAGGGCTACAAAAATTTCTTCTCTTTCCTAATTAAAAAATAAATAAAGAAACATAGTTAATGGAACAACCTCTGACAAAAAATCTTACTTTTAGAGTATGTAGTGTAAAGGACGATAAGTATAATATCTCTAATATAGCATCCTGTAGACAATAATATAAAACTATGATGACACGTATTCATTTCGGGTTCGAGTACCGCTGGGAGCATTCATTTATATGATGAATATTCCAGTCGAGAGTCTTTATATTTATAATATGTATGTATTTAAAATTATATATGTGTAGTGTATCAATTATCTGGTATCCATAACTAAATTCTCGTAGCTTACTATGGAAGTATATGGTGCTATGGAATAATGACCCAACTTATTTATTTATAAAATTCGGTCAAGCTCAGTCGGACTCGCGTACCGACGGTTTTGGTTACATAGTGCAATAGCGTAACGCTAGCACACAATAAAATGTGTTAAGTATCACCGGTATACGTAATTACTTACATACGCTAATTATATCTATATGGAATATGATATACTATATTTAATAGTTGTTTGAAGTTACCAGCGCGCATCTTGGCCAGTTTTTAGTACTTATTTGTTTTTATATTTTAGATATTGCCCATTTTATAAAATTTCTTTTATAAAATTTTTTTATAAAATTTGAAGCTCGATATCAATTAGAATTATGTAAATTCTAAAACTCACATTTATTGTATGGTAAACTCGTATTTTTTTTATTTTTTTACTTAATTTTCCAAATTACCCCATTGAATTGCTTCGTATTACTTTAAATCGCTAAGCTAAGTATCGATTTTGGCACAAAAAAATGCTCTCACCGCGCGGAAGCCAAAGCCGCTGCCACTTGTGTAACTACTACTTACTAAATTATTTCCTTTCAGTTATCTATTCAAAATGAACACGTAGTCTCATAATATTATTTGTTATAACTCCGCGTAAAAAATATTTACCTCAATTTTTTGTTTATACTTTTCATCCAGTAGCTCGCGGTCCTCTGTTACGTGTTTAAGTTTAGCGCGCGCAGTCGTCGGCGGCACGTATCGCGCGGACAGTCCGAGGATCGACTCCATTTGGAAGCACCTCGTACGAGTAGACTTCAGTTCAGTACGCAAATTGTTAATTTCCGATAGTAAAGTGCAATTCTCCTGTGGAAGTCGAAAAATCACATGAAGAATGCTATTAAACAATAGATCGCAAAAATGGCAACTAAGTTTGCATTGTATACATCAACAATAACGACCATGGCTTATTGTATAAATATAATATCGTTTTAGATGTTTTAACTTCCATTTTTTTCAATTATGATATTGATAGATATTATTAAAACCCCTAAATTTCAACAGGAATGGACATTTAAATACGTAAGTCGCAACTCGTAAGTCTAGTGCATCAATGTTTTTTTTCTATAAAAAGATGATTGAAGTGCATTATGTACAAACTATAAAACATTTTTATATAATACAAATATAATTAATATAACTGCGAACTTATTGTTATTAGCAACTAACGTCCATGATCTTTCTGATGTCACTCTTGGAACCATCTAACGACTTCGATAACTGCATTTTAAGCGCAGCTACTTGTTTCTCAAGATGATCTCGTTGTCGATTAAACTCCCGTATGGCTTCGTCCTCTGCGATGCGGCTACGCACAAAATCTATATCCTCCACGTATTTTTGGAAAAGAGCCTAAAAAAAGTTTGTTAGATACATAGTTATGCATGTATTATGTATATAAAATATATAATACCACTGACTGATTAATCACGAAATATCAGAATGCATAAACGCTACTAACTTGAGCTTTGACAGATAGATATCCATAAAAAGGGAATACCGAATAGGCATCCGCTAAGAAAGGATTTTGGAAATTCAAAGAAAGGGAGTTGGAAATATGTATGAAAATTCCTTATTTATTAAATTATAGTGGAAATTATCTTTGTGATTAAAAATAACTTAATTTACAGTTTTAGGCAGTATAAACGTTCTATGGAAGTGACTAATAGGGTTGAAGGGAAACTTAGGGGCGGAGCATTTATACTACTAATAGTTTACGTCAGGACAGCTAACATGGAAACACTAGTTTACATATAATATTAAATTTCAGATTGTTCATAAAAACCTATCTTTACTGTAACGCCAATAATTGCAACAAAAACAAGTTAATAGCAGCTCACCTTTACACTTAGCTTTAGTTGAGTTGGATCTTGGAAATTAGCCGTCATATTGTGAAGGTCAATCTTTATTTTCTTTAGAGTATTTTTCAGCGTTATGTTTCGATTAGCTTCATTTGTAAAATCCTTTTTTGCCGACGACAACTTTTCATTTAATTGAGTGATCTTGAGTTCTTGAAAAGAAAAACACAAAAAATTAATAAATAAATATATTCTGACTTTTTACTTTGATACTTACCTAAGTACTTATAACTAAAAAAATTATGAGCACAATAATTACTACTTTATTAATGTAATATAAATTAATATCGTCATTATGTTTAACTATAAAGTAAGAAAACTATATTTATTATGCTATTAAATTTATATTTTATTTGTCATTAACTACAAATAAATCATGCAGCATGCATCTTACTTAGTGCATACATTTTCTAAACACTACAAAACTGTCTACAAAGTATATACTTAATTAGGTACTTAAAAAAATTACAACTGAACATGTTTTTACCGCGAAAAGCCTTTTGTTTTAGCAGAGTTTCTAACGACACTTCCAATTCTAGAATACGTATTTTTTTCACTTTAATGTCGCGCTCTAACGGCTCTATCTGTTGTCAAATAAAATTGTAATATAACAGCTGTAACTTTTTTATTAACTAAGCTAATCTAAAGACCGCCAAAACGGCTAACATTTTAAAAAAAATCATTAACCATACCGAGATCATGTTTTGTGTTCAATAACTTTAACTCTTCGTTCTCCATGTCATCTATCTGAACTTTTAATTCTCGTATTGTCCTTTCTTTAGGCTCAATCTAATATACGATTAAAATGATATTGGGCGTTTTAGAACGACGTGTCTTGACAAATTATTGTGGTTTTTAAAGTGACCAAGATTAAATATATATTTTTTTGGTTTACCATTCTTAAAATTAGAGAGCGAAGAATGTCTATGCTAATTATTGCTATTACCTGATTTTTTAGCTCTGTTATCTTGAAATTCAATACAAATTTGTATTTTTCAAGTTCCTGTTTTTTTCGTTTTAGCTCATATATTCTTTTCTCTTTATCTTGAATAGTGCCATCTCTCTCGGTTATTTCTTTCTTCAAATCAGCGACATCACGTTCAAGAGTTGATATAACTTTTTGAAATTGTTTATGTTCAGCTGTAAATATTGTAAAAATATTAGTGAAATCATATCACAACTCTGTTAGAATATCTTTAATTAGTTAGGTTACTTATTAATTATTATTAAATCTGTTCCACGGGAACCATACATTTTTCCGGGATAAAAATTATAGCCTATTAATCTGATGTATGAGCTATAAAGTTTCATTAAAATTCATTCAATAGTGATTTTGCGTGAAAGAGTAACAAAAATTAATTTAAATATAATACATAAAATAAAATGTATGTTCCTTATTAGATATTACTTATTAGTACATGCGTTTCTATATAACTCATCCGATTGGGAGACGAGTTGTTTTGCGCTCTTCCTATACTTTACGTACCTATAATATACCTACAATATACTACTATCAATATACGATGTAGCATATAAGGCTTCGTTTCACACGCTTTCGTATAAAACAGTGATTCCGTTTTATTTAGTAGGTGTGAACTAAATAAGGATAAAAACACGAGTGGTATCACAGGTAGAAGCGAGGTTTTAATATAGGTAACTAATAACTATGGAAAATTAGTTTCATCTTGTAAACCTCTTGGGTAAAAATCTGAATTATCTGACTAAATGGAGAAGATACATAAAGAGGCTTACCCTTCAACTGTGACACTTGATGCTTAAATTCATCAATGTCTTTATTGGCAGATATCAACTTCTTTTTCATTAGTCCTGTTTCTCCTTTCAAACGTACATTGGCATCTTTTTCTTCTTTCAATTGGACCTCATACGCTGTTCTTATTTCAATAATTTCTCGATCTGCGTCTTCTTCTATAGATGCCTTTATCGATTCATGCTCTCGTTTCTCCATATCCGCTTGTTCTTGCAACTAGAGGAGCCATATATGTATATGCCATTTATTAAATCATTAAAATCTATAAAACTTTAAGAAATTATATAATCTGTAGTCACTTAAGACAAATATCTGTATTTGCTATTAATATTTATGCAAAGTTAAAAAAAGATATATATATACAAATACATCCTGAAAATGTACATTGCAATTTCAAAAAAACCTCTGAGAAACCTTTTCCTAAATAAAGTAATGGGTTCTTTGCCACACACTTCTCCATCTCAAGGTTGCCTTTTTTTTTTTTTTAACGTTGGGAAATGCATTTACGCACGACGTGTGGGACTCACCGGCGTAATACAGCCAGTACTACCCACTAAAACCCAACAAAACCTTCCCCCGTCTTAATGGGGCGTCGCAGGATCGCTTACGCATTCAACTACGACACCCCGACGGCAGGTCTGCCGAAGCAGACCACCACAACCATGGGGTTGCTCCACAGTCCACTCTGCTATCAGAGAAGTACCAGGAGCAACCCGCATGGTACACCGCCCTCCGAAGAGGGCCACCTCCCACCGCCCACCGAAGTGGGCCACCTCCCTGTGCGTTTCTTAACTTCGCGCCCGGTTGGATTGCCGGGCACTACTGAGCCCCCCCACCACGACAAGGTGAACGCACGTTGGGGGGGATCTCAAGGTTGCCTGAGAAAGATCGCTTTAAGCGATAACTCCACTTGCTCTACGTTTATTCTTTGTGTATTATTTTCGTTGTTTGTTTCATAAGGTGTACAATAAAGAGTATTATTATTACTTCTTGTAACATGAGATCCTTTTCCTCAAGTTTTGCTTCAAACATATCATTCAGTTGCCTTAGAGCTAGACGTTTGTTTTCAGCTAAATCTTCCAAACGCTGTTCATAATCTTTTCTCATTCGAGCTGTTTTATCTTCTAAGCTCTAAAATACAAACCATATTATATTATTATGAGTTAAGCAAATTCTCGGAATTTCAATTATTTATCATTTAATCGCTAAGGAAAACAAAAGATAAAGAACACAATAAGTAGGTAGGTATTTTGTATTATATTTCACGTAAAGACAAACTTACTTGATACCTATCATATTCACTTATTAGTCTAATATTAAAATCAGCTTCCAGAGCTTGAAGAGTTCTTTCGTGACCCGACTTCAACTTTGCAATATCTTGTTGTATCATTCCAATTTCGTGTGTGTGTTCATTTTCCATTTGCTATAATGATGAAAGCACATTAGGCAGACTATGTAAAAAATTATAAAAATGTAAGTTTTTATTTAATACATAAAATTCTTGATTAGAAATACCTCATTTTTCTCTTTAAGTTCTTCAATAGCAGCGCAATATCCCTCGTGAACTTCTTTTAACTTTTCAGCTTGTGCAGCCTCAGCTTGACGAAGTTGATAGGTGTGTTCTGTTTCTAGTTCACTCATTCTTGTGCTGAGTAGCTACAAAAAAATAGCAAATATTTGCTTATAGTATTACTATTGTGTCTTATAGAGAAAAAAATAAAAAAAATAGTGCAAATAGACAAATATCAATATTTGCTATTAAAATTTAAGCAAAGTTAATGAAAGAACAAAATATATAAAAAACCTGAAGGCTGAAAATGCATGCACATATATTGCAATTTTAAACAGTATAAAAACCTCTAAGAAACTGTTTCCTAAACAAAGTAATGGGTTATTAAATAGAATTTTTAAAATTTTACACCTTCAAAAACAAGCATTAAGTAAATAGATAGTAAATATGTACCTCAATAGACAGTACATATCTACTGTTTGCATTTTATGAGTTGTTTTTCTATAAATTACCGGTCACGGGTTCGAGACCCGCTGGGGGCAATCATTTGTGTGATGAGCCCGGATGTTTGTACTCCAGTCATGAGTCATGTGTGTTTATATTTATAATATATATGTATTTAAAGTTATATAATATATGTAGTGTATCAACTATCTGACATCCATAACATAAGCCTCTTAGCTTACCATGGAACTAGATGGTGCGGTGTGTGAATGTAATCAGTAGGTACCTATAGGAATTCCATCCTTTTTATAGGTGCGCTGTTACTATAAATAGCCAATATTTCCACATGCCCAAGAACATAAAACATATTTACTTACATTTATATTATTAATTTTCTCTTGTAAATCTTTTTTGCTTATTAAAATCTCTTTAGAGTAAGCAAAATCTTTATCGAGCGCTATAGCTCTACCATCAGCGTTGGTCAATCTCCACAGACAGATTGAAGAATCTTCCGCGACTGATACTAAAGTTTGATCATCGTATGATAATGCAATACCGGTAACTTTTATATTATGCATATGAAATTCATTAAAAATAGCTTTGTCTAATAAAGGCAGTTGAACACCAGTTACACCTCCTTCGCCACCAGTTATAAATAGCATTAAGTCTGAGCGTGACAGCACGATGGTATCTAGAGCGCATCCAATCAAACCTAGGTTTCTTCGAATTGTATTGGAGCCAACTTCTTTAATTTCGCCGTCACTTCCAACACCGTACGTTGTTTTACCATTACTGTGGACATATCAGTTTCATTGATTTATTTTTGATTTCGTAAATACCTATATACATATAATTTACTTGTTATTCTTGTGTTTTGTCTTTAAGCTCTAATTATTTTATACAGTTATTATATTGGTGGAGTTATGTACTCTTTGATATTATTCTTACTCCTGTATTATAAATACTTAGATACTTTTTCAAAAATAACCGACATTGCTTAAACACCCATTTATTTTCAACATAAGCCGTAATTGTGCCTACTTAATAAGTATTTACTCTACTTAATAATGAAATAGGAACTTTTTTTTCAAAAACTATTTTCTATAATATTACTCGCCTATTGACAGCACACGCCTTAAATTGATTTGTTTTAAGTATGACTTCACCAACTCTTTGGCCTGAAGACATGTTCCATTCATATACAGCGCCTTCTGTTCCACACGACACCAATGTTAAATCATTTGCTGACCACGCTAAGCCAGTAATCTAAAGAAAAAAAATCAAAGTTCTATGAATAATTACTTATATTTTTTATATACTTTACTTGAAATTTCCAAGATAAAGATAAAATAAAATCATGAACGAATTAGAGACGAATAAAATATAAGATAATATAGAAAAAAAACTGGCATTATTTTATAATTATATTAAATTAAAAATAAATTGAATATATTATGTAAGTTCAAGAATATTCACTTTTCCATTATGTCCTTTCAAATTGAAAACATTCTGAAAGGAAACCGATGAAAAAACTTGAATAACTTGACCGTTGACGGCAGCGAAGAGATGCCCGTTGGTACTAAATTGTGCACGTTTACAATTACGAATTGGGAACTCTCGCATTACTTCAAAATCATCAATAAGCACCACCATAAATCGTAGCTTATCTGAAAACCCTACGATCGCGAAAAGTCCTGAAAATAGTAAATTCATAGTATATATTTATTTATTAATATTATGCATATTTAATAATAATAAAATAAAATAGATATTTTTTTAGCAAATTATACATTTACTAGTTTTAGTACACATCTATTCGTCGGATGAACCTACTAAGCATGTTATTAAAAATATCTCATCTGAAATATACATATATATTGGTTGAGGTGTATATATATCTATATTCTTTTATTATAAAACATACCCACAAAAACAATAGAAAAATTGAGTTCTTTCTCTTTTACTTTACTCCTTTGAAGTCGGTAAAAAATTCTTTTATTCATTAATTTTAATCATAATTGCTATCTTAGAGCAAATTAATGTATAGAATTACAATCTAAAATTTTAATATTAGTAATGTAATACTAAGAACTCTACATTTAGATATCTCAACAAAGTGCAATCACCCGTAGGATGTAGAGAAACACAATGTATCTCTTCTTGATATAGTTTAATCAACTCTACATCATCAGTCATATAGTTCCAAATCCTAATGCTTTTATCTTGTTCGCCGGACGTCATAAATATTGGTTTCCAAGCGCACATCGATAGCGAATTTATTCGGCCGTAGTGCATAGCTGGTCCGAGTTCCGTAAATGCTATTTCTGGATTCTAAAAAGGTTAATTTTTCTTAATTTAATAGTAGTCGAAATTTCTATTATCATCTGGCTCATCTACAAATTGTCTAGTGCACTGCCTGGAAGAAGTCGCGAATTCGGCTCTCGGGGTGCGTATTTTGACTCTTCGTTGATGTCCTTGTAACTTGTTTATTTATAGAAAATGTTTTAGATATGAAGAAATGTAAGGATGTTCCGCAACCATATGAAGTTTTTCTAATTATTTTTAAGTAACAGTTTAGAAATCTATACTTATAATAAAATTCTGAGTAAGCCGAATCTATACATAAAATATTTTTTGGAAAATCTTATTGAAATAAACATTATTATCGATACAGAGGCCGAATCTATAGTTTTTAGAATTTTTGTCTGTCTGTCTGTTACCGCATCGCAGAAAAACCACTGGAGGGATTTTGATGAAATTTCGTATGGTGATAGCTGGTTATCCGGGTCAACAAATAGGATACTTTTTACCGCCGTAAAATATCTCATTTCTGAGCAAAATCCTAAAACTACAATGTAAGAGTATACTAATATGTAAAACCTAAGAATTTGGTTTTTGGTCATTTGAACGCGGGCGGAGCCGCGGGCAATGTTAACAAAATTATATATTATTATTTTTAAGTTATAAAAGATATATTTACTTGAAGCATATGTTGTCCAAACAACTTAACATAATAAAATTGTTTTCTAAGGGTTGTGATAAGAAGTACTTCTTGGTTCGGATCTATAGTAATATGTTGAATGGCATCTAACGGCGACCACATCGGGTGTTCTCGGGTATGTCTGCCAAAAACGAAACATATACAAAAGATATTACATTTAGTCAACATTATATAGATATATTAAATTTTGAATTACTATAACGTACTTGTAAGACTTTTTAGAAATTCTAAACAAATTCCTTTTACGCCAATGATGTGGCGTTTCTTTCTCAAACATATGAACATAGCCTTGTCCACAAGCGTACGCAAAACCTTTAAAAATCACATCATATTAATTTTGTTCTGGCTATTCTTATGACTAACTTAAATATGGTATATTTCGCAACAGTCATAAAAAATGTTAAAATATTCGTAAGTAATTATTAATATGTCACCTTTGGCAAAATTAATCAAACATGTGACTGGGTAATCTTCTGAATCAAGAATTCCCTGTTCACTGCTGGCCACATCTCCACTAGCAGTGCTAGTTTTTTCACCTTCACCTCTGTATTCAATATAATACATATGAAAATTGAAGGTATAACAAACGAAATATTTTAATTTATTTAAAATATTTGTGCAAAGATCACTTTGTAGTATACTCAGTACTTACTCAACGTCAACTTTTTTAAGGGACATCTCCATGACATCAGCGGCTCGAAATATACAATTTTGTCGCAGATCTCCATTTTCCACTACCATAATCACTCCATTATACGTCCCAAACATAATACGATCAGGTGTTAGCCACATACAACTGGTTATGTTAATCTATAAGAAAAATATAAAATAATTCAGTCAATGTATTTTAACTAAAACTTTGCATTATATTTAAGTATTATTTATCTCACATTTTCAGCCTTACACCAACCCCATTGACGCCATACTGTTTCAGAAACGTTCATTATTCGAAAAGTATATGGCCCTGTTATAACTACGAGAGTTGCATCTGTAGGATTACATTGTACCTGAAATAATATTGTGAGTTTGTTTTATTAAAATTAATCATTAAATTTAATAGAAGATTGTATTGGTGTGATTAATACATAAAATAAAAAAAAACCTCACACTTTCTACAGTCCCTTGGCCACTGGGATTTTGAGCTTTTGCATGGCTCTCCACTTTTCCTTTGTCCCAGTTATAATAATACAAATACCAATCAGGTTCTCCAGTTATGGCCACCAGATATTTTGAATCATACGTAAACTGAATGCAAGCAAAATCTCGAGCAGTGGAATTTTCGAAGGGCACAGTTAAAATTTTACGCCTCTTGAATGTTGTGAGATCATAAATAGTGATTGTTGGCTTCTGCCCTTCCTCCGCGATTTCATTCAAAGCTAGCCAACGTCTAAAATGAAAAGTAAAAAACAATATCAAAAACTACCATTATTATACTTTTAAGGAAATCTAGACAACAGCTGCTAACATACCTAATATTTTAAAGGAAAATCTTTATATACATACCTAACACCTACCTAGATCGAGGAGATTGCCAGATTGGATATAAAAGTAATTATTTCAGTTGTTACCTGTTCGGTGCTAATACTAGCGATTTAATTGGTTTGTGTTTATCTTGAAGGCGGATAAATTTTTGCTTCTTTTGAATATGATTGTGTATTACAATGACACCACCAGCTGGGTATATAATTTCGGAATCTGTCATATAATGGGCATTGTATCTATAGATCAAAAATCATTTCATTAAATAAAAACCATTTTGGGAATATATATTTTTTATTTCGAAGAAAAAAATTAGGAGTTTTGTTAGGCTATCAGGGTATTAATAAAAACTTGACGGGTTATTTTTAAAAAATCCGATAAAATTTATTTTTGAAGCTACTTACTGAATGTCTGTTCTTAGCCCATAAAATATTCTAGCTGATATATTGGGTGGGGTATTTGCAGCCATTACCTATGGAAAGCTTTTACGATTTTATTGTAAAATTATATAATAAGGAGGTACTCTTTATAATAAACACGCCTCTCAAAAATATGAGAATAAACAAAACTATAGGTTTAATGGTCGCTATGACAACTGCTTTAAGTCATTATGTGGACAACGATCAAATATACAATCTAACTTACGTTTATAAAGTCATTAATAATATATTTTTTAAATAATAATAAAATTAACAGCCGTAGGCAGGCCGCAGTGGATTAACACTAGGGAGGGGCACTCGGGTCTAGTGCCAAGGGCAGCAAATTTTCAGGGGCGGCAAAATCCGGAGGGTAAATAAAAAAAATTGTTCACGTTTAGTCCAATCGGAATCCCGTTTGGGAACGATATTCAAATCCTGAAGTTTTAAGATTTTAAAATGTGAGCAGGTATATAAGAAATAGAAATTCGTAAAATGCCCCCGATGCCCAGCTACCCCCGAGAAATGAGGGGACGCAAAGCGTTGAAAAATAGTTTTTTTTTTCAATTTCCGGCTTTCTGTGACGTTCTATCGAAAAATGTTTTGATGGCCTAGTAAAAGTCTACAACTTTTATAAAAAACACTTTTTACAAGAACCTCAAAGTTTTCAAGATATTTGCAAAAAAGTCGGTTTTTAACTTTTTCTTGGTTTTTTATTTTTAATTTCTAGAATAATCTGTTGATTTTAATGAAACTAAGGGAATATAATCTTCGAAATATATGTGATAAATAAAAAAAATATTGAAACTGAAATGTTTAGCTATTTCGGAGAAAAGTATGTTTTATGGTCTCGAGAGGCTGAAAATCACCCCCTACTTCAAGTGGACGTTTACATTTAAAAAAAAAATCATCCAACTTTCAAATAGGGCTCATTCTTTTCGTCTTGAACTCTACTTTTTGAAAAAATAAAAACATTGTATGGTCGTCCTGTAAAAACCGTCCCGGAAAAATGAACGGTTCCCGTGGGAACTAATAGATCTCTATTGGTGGTCTAGAGGCGAACCCGAGCGAAGCGTGGGTGAGCCGCTAGTATAAAATAAATGCAAATACTAAGAGAAAATCAAACGTTTTTCATTTAATATTATAATAAGAATTAATCAAATCTCCATACTAATATTATAAAAAGATCCATAAATACAACAATATTTGCAAGCTTTTGCTATTTTATAATTAAATGTACATATAGAGCGATATGAACAAGCACAAAGTGACTATATCAAATAAAATGCGCAACACTTAGACTTGAATCGTCATTTATACTCCACTCTACCTGATTGGTGCTCAATGTCATCTTTAGTAGAGCATCCTCTTTGCAATTCCGAGGTAACTTGCTGCTTCCTCCCTTTACATAAAGTACTAATAAAAATATTATTTATTTGTTATGAAACATATAATTGATTTACAAATCTTGCTTAATTATCATTGAAATTAGAAATAATAAGTTTCTAATATCGACAACTACCTAATGATTGAAATAGGATTTCAAATCATTATAAAACATTTGTGAAATATGCGGACCAAACACAACGGTTCTATGTAATATACAATATGTAATATTTTATTTCAGATAATAAATTGATAAGAGCGTATTTAAACAATGTAATTTTTTTTCAATACTATGTGTTAATCTGAAATATGAGTAAAGATTTAGGAGTACCTATTCGTATTAAAAAATGTCTAGATTATAATGCTCACTCATGATATATCTTATGCTCATTTTCACCTATAGTCCTATGTAAGGTAAATAGTGACTTCCTCGTTAGTTCTTTCCTTTCCCAGGCCTATTTAAATGACTGTTTTGTTGCTCGGAAAATTTGACCTGTACTTTTAACCCTAAAAATGTACTAGATACATAACAAATTTAACTTTTTCTATACATGTTGTTATTGTATTGAATTTATTAATTCTTATTTTGACCGAATACATATTGCATAATTGAACAAACTATTGAGGTCACGATTTCACAAAAAGAAACCGTATAATACAGATGTAATGAGTAAGTAAACAATTTCGCACTAATATACAAACTAAAGGTGGTATCTAGACTTCAGTTTAATTTCATTGATCTGGTTTATATATTTTTGTTTACACAGCCTGCTTATGTTTATGAAGCTTTCTCATTTTTCATTACAAAAGTGCGCTTTTAATTTTTAAAGGCTTTCTCGGTATTGTTTAATTATTATTATTTTTAAATTTTATATTTTTAATTTTATCTACGTAATTAATAAAATATTTGCTTAAGGAATAAAAAGAGCTAAATTTGAGAAGCGTGAAGTTATAAAAAAGCGAATGAGGCTGGAGTTACTTAATATAAAAATAGGCGCATAGTCGTCGAGTTGCGGAAAACAGCGCGAACATACCATACCATACCATACCATACCATACCATACTTAATACAAAATTATATTAGTTACTAGCATTGCCCGCGGCTCCGCCCACGTTCAGATTCTTAGGTTAAAACCAAATTTTTAGGTTTTACATATTAGTATACTCTACATTGTAGTTTTTGTATTTTTTCTCAGAAATAAGACAATTTCCCGCGGTAAAAAAACCTATATGTTGACCCGGATAATCAGCTATCACCATACCAAATTTCATCTAAATCCCCACATGGGTTTTCTGTAATGCAGTAACAGACAGACAGACAAAAATTCTAAAAACTATAGATTCGGCCTCTGTATAATGTTTATTTCAATAAGATTTTCCTAAAAATATTTAATGTACAGACTCGGTTGAGTTACAATTTTATTATATGTATAGATTTAACACAAATATAATTTCTCCCAGGCGATAAAAGCTTGGTAACATAATAAAGCTTGGTGGCGACAAAAATCCGTTGTCATGTGGAAGTTAGTGAATCGTTTTTTTTTTAATAAATATGATAAAAATTGAGTTAAGATTTTTTAAGCAGGTTATTGAATAAAATATTATTATGATATAAATTTAAAATTTTGTAAAGTATACACAAATAGCACGTACGCGGCGTTTTTTTTTAAATAAAATAATAATTTGAATTCAGTTACGTGTGATTTTTGTACAATGCCTGAAGTCTATATACAATTAATTATGTATATATATATCAAATCAAATCAAAATATTTTATTCAGCATTAAATTATTACAATTTCTTACTGAACGTCATGAGTCTACTACCAGTTCGGAAAGAAGAAGCCTCAAACCTGAGAAGAACTGGCGAAAGAAACTCAGCGGGACTAATATTATTTCATTATCTTTTTTTTATAAAGTTAAATTATAATTTACAATATTTCTATCAATTTGAAGTAGCCTGGATAGCGATCATTTCATTCCCAAGGTGTGCCATCTTCTATAACTACACCACCGAGGCATCTTCTATATAATCATTTATTGTATAATAGCCTTTAGCACACATACGTTCTTTAGCAATTTTTTTGAATTTGGCGATAGAAGCCTTTTGATCATTTTCTGGGATCCTGTTGTACAAGCGTATACATTGTCCATAAAAAGAATTACTAACTCTGTGTAGACGAGTCACAAGCATTACAAGTTTGTGTTTGCTCTTAGTATTAATGTTATGCATGTCACACTTCTTGGGAAATTCATGTATATTTTTACGGACATACACAACATTTTCGTACACGTACTGAAAAGCAACAGTCATTATATTTATTTCTTTAAACTTATCTCTTAATGACACTCTAGGACCTAAACTATAAATTGCACGAATAGCTCTTTTCTGCAGGACAAAAATTGTATTAATAGCAGCTGCATTTCCCCATAGTAAGATATCATAGGACATAATACTATGAAAATAACTAAAATATACTATGCTATATAGAACTCAATTATATATAAAAACCCTGGGTAGGTAGGATCTTTTACTAAAATAAAATCATTAAATTAAAAGTATCTAATAGACTATACTTCAATTCTTACATAATTTGTTGCTTTGACCTTTGTTCATCTTTCAGGAGCAATGAATAGACGTTATAGAGACAGTTTATGGATCGTAGAGTCATAAAAGTCGATTTTAGAAGCGGCCTCGAGAATTACTATTAGTTAAATATTATATATTCAAATGAAGTAACGTAATCGTATATACAGGACCTGTGCCATTTGTTATTTTTTTTATACTAGAGAGTAGAGACTTGCTCTCGCTTCGCCCGAGGGCGCCCGTAGTGCGCGGATTTTGTTCACAATTTCATGGATTGTAATTTTTTTGCGCGGAACACTCATTTTTTTAAAATAAAAGTAGCCTAAGTTACTCCTTACAACATCAGCTATCTGCCAGTGAACGCCCCGTAAAAATCAGTCCAGCCGTTTCTGAGATTAGCCAGAACAGACAGGCAGACAAAAATTTTAAAAATTGATTTTTCTTGTTAGTACCGTATCGTATATACTTTAATATGCATTTAGTAAAAAGCTGTTATTTTAAAATTACAAACAGTCAACAGACACTTCAATTTTTATTTATCTGTATTGATTACAACTAAAATATAATTTATGACTGAGGCCTTCTATACATAAAATAAGAATTAGTAATAAATTTTTATTACCCACGTAGTAATCTTAAACAAAAGGATTGTATAAATTACAGTGCGCACACATGATGTTACTCTAAACTATTAATAAGTGATCAAGTCAATGAATTGGCGATATCGAGCGTAATTGATGTCACAATGTGATGGTTCCTAACATGCCCTCTAACAAGCCCCGTCACAAGAGTGTACAGAGATCTCTTATAAATTGTCGCCTTGTTATGTTGAATAACATTCAATAAGGTCAGTGCCCTACTGTTTCGATATAGGTATCGATTTCACATGTTATTGTTATCAATATTATGAGCTTACTAAATGTGTACATGCACAAATCTACGTAGTATTACTAATTAAAAAAGCTCAAGTTCAATATTGTTAAAACTTATTTTTAAAATAAAATAAGTATATGATTTTCACCTAAACGCATACAAAATATTACATAGTAATTAGTAAACATCCTTGAGAGTCGTTAACTATTTTTATATAAGACTAGGATTGCCCATGGCTCCGCCCGCGTTCAGATGAACAAATACTGATTTCTTAGGTTTTACATATTAGTGTACTCTTACATTACAGTTTTTGTATTTTTTCTCAGAAATGAGATATTTTCCCGCGGTAAAAAGTCTCCTATATGTTGACCCGGATAACCAGCTATTACCATACCAAATTTCATCAAAATCCCTCCGGTGGTTTTGCTGTGATGCGGTAACAGACAGACAGACAGACAAAAATTCTAAAAACTGTAGATTCGGCCTCTGTATCGATAATAATGTTTATTTCAATAAGATTTTCCAAAAAATATTTAATGTACAGATTCGGCTTCGTTACAATTTTATTATATGTATAGATTTTTTGAATGATTGCTTAATATGTAGAGACTATTTTATTTTATTTATCCATCGTCGTAATAAAAAAAGCAAAAACGTATTTATGATAAACTTAAAATTATTATTTCTTTTTATATCCTGTATTATTAAAGTTTGTTTTGTTTGTTAATTAATTGAGGGAACAAAAGAGACGTATGACTAAGACGTTTTTATTTAGAATCACTCAGCTCGGCCAATTCCGCAGACTTTTACCTCAGTAGGTATACAACGTACTAATAACGAATTCTGATAATAATGAATACACAAGTATATAAAGAAAAAGAACCACGAAACGATTTGAATTAAGTATAAAGGTCATTGTAATGTCCGGCCGTGGATCGATACAATAAAAACATGCGATGGCATTATGAAGAAATTTAATGTAGTTTGTGATATTATTTTATGTTTACCAAAAAAAGATTAAGATATCTCCTACGTACTGCACTTTAAAGATACGAGTAATAGATGTTGCATGCTAACAGGTATGCATAAGTAAAACATTGTTTTTATATGCAAGTGCTTGTTCTGAAGACACAATGTAAATATTCAGTACCTAGTTAAATGATTACGTAATTCATGAAGTTGACACAGCACTACTAATAAAATATTCCAACGTGTGATATTTTTCGAAGTTTACTTGGCCTTCGACATGTAGGAACGCTTTATGAGCATGACGTCATGGAAGTAAATAACTACAGCAGTAACTACAAAATTCTATACTTACTGCATTACATCAAAAATACCTACATATGATCAATTGTAATCTTTACAAAATAGTCTGTGATACCAATAGATAACCGTTTACTTTAACTATCCTGCGAAACTCAAGGTATTTGAACCGAAACAAAGATTAGTAAGTTGCTGCGCAGTTTGATTTGTCATCATTAATTGGCGTTGTTAGGTAATTATGATCACGACGTCGACTTGTCCTCTCGCTTATAATATTTAAAAACGTCTAATGAGTACATCGTATTATAATGGTTTGTTTCACAAGTTGCATGGATGCGTTTAGCTCACGCGATAGCGGTATCGGCGAGTGCGCTGCCGGCGGCGAGGGCTAGTGTGCCTCTGGCCGTGACGCCGAGCGCCGCGACGCCGCACACCGATCTTCACCCATACCGCGAACCGCGAAAACAAACTCCCGGCAATTATCTCTGTGATAAGACGATACAAGGCGCTATCAGTTGTGATAAGTTAATAGTGTGATACTAGATAAAAAACGAAGTGGTCGACGCCTGAAATACTGTGCGGACGCCTATTATGTAAAACTCTGGAAAACGGAATTTCTCAACTAGTGGTACAATGATGACGACGATGGCGGGCCATCATAAGACAATCTCCATTAATGACTATCCCGAGCACCTGAATCCGTTCCGGGAGGAGGATAATCACAATAAAATCAGGTTTTGGACAATCGGTAGAAAATTAAGCAGGTCTAACAGTATTTCGTTTTCTGGAATAAAGGACCTAAAAAATTCATGGTAAGTCTTGGCATGATCAATATTTCATCAAAAGTAGACGACAAAGTAAAGTTGATGTATAGAAAAGTAGTATTATAGCTCATAACGATATCTGTGTTAATACAAACCTTATAAAGATTTCTGATCTGACAGTGTATTTATAATTTATTCAATTGGAATGTTACATTTAATATACCCCCAGCAATCTCTAATACATTGCTATAGGTATCTTAAACGTTAGTGTTGGACAAACTATGAACTTAATCCGGAAGAATTTGCGGTCACAACTTACAACTGCCGCAACATGAGCACGATCTCACAACAATCGACTTTTCCTTCGTTATTTTCATAACACACTTATTATATACGTAACCTAAATAATTTCCGGTACAATTATATATTAGATTTTATCCATGTACAACATGTCGCAACTAGGTCGAAATAATGAAATGAAAATCACAGGTTAAAACTACATTTTACTTACGTTTTATATTATACAATGTTATAAATTGTTTTTTGCTAAATTGCAACACAAAGAGGAAATATGTCATCCTCTTACTGGCATCGGTACTAAGCAGAGTAGACGAGTTAATCCTCACAAATATTTCATAAAATAAACGATTTTTCATGCATTATACAGCAAGAACATGACCTCAGTATGTATTTTATTATCTTGATCAAACACATTATTGTACAATATTATCATGTCCAATGTAGATATGTTTAAATCTTGAATATCCTACGATTAAAATTAACATTCAAAATGTTCAAAATTCTACTTATAGTAAGCAAATTACTAAATAGGTAATATCACTGCGATTTTTAAGTGACTTTACACAATTCATTCTTTTCTCTCCTTCATAAAGATTTATAGAGTGTCTTGTATCAAAATATTATAATTATAATCTTATTACGTATTTATTACTTGAGTATAGTTATATAAATAGCATTGACGAACGAATACTTGTGTCTAGTAGCTAGTGGGTAATGTTAAGTATTAGTCTAGTAATGCTTTATCTCAAGATTTCACGTTATACCTAACCATTTGTAATCTGTGTGATAATTGATTTGACGGAAGCCTGAGAATCGCTTAGTTATATGTAACTGCTATGTATATACTCGTATTTTGTTGTTAGCTTTACATTGCATCAACAAAAAAATTGAGCCAATATCTCTTCCAGAAACCTCGTATCAATTTGTTAGTAATTCCTTTTAGATAGGTATAGAGTGCTTAGGCTTATAGAGATGCAAAATTCTACACTTATTATGAAATAATATGTAAATGTTTATGTTATGTATAATTAATAATATTTTTTATTATCTACATTAGTTGTGGATTAGCACAATTTTCTACATTTTCTGCATAATTTTACATATCTTATAAACTTAATCAGCTTAAACTTGAACAATAATTAACATTTCATATTAACTTATGCATTTGGATTAAAGGCTTAACTTATAAATATATCAAGAATGTTTCGCTGAAAGACAGCATTAAATATTAATTAAGATCAAATGGGTAGAGAATATTGTGCTCTACAATATTTTGATGACTTCTAATCTCATTTTAAATCAAGAAAACAAGATGTATAAAAAATATTATTTTTGTGACCTTTGATGACCTTTTTTGAACCAACATATAAAATACGAAAACAAAGTAAAATAAAAGATTATAGCTTATATTCCGGATTTGAGTGACTTTACCGAAAATATAAACAACAATCCAAATTATGTTGACAGCACAAATCGGCGATCACAATTGTCTAGTAAGCTGAAATAAAATATACGCGCTGATAAAGTCGCGGGTTACAATTAGTAAAGTTAGATAAATTTATCTTAACAATAAACGTCTTTAGGGTTACCTAATGACACACACTTAAATATTATTTAAAATGCACAATAGCATCGAAGAACGCAATGTTGTCAGAAGTTTATAAATAGTGTTGATGTCACCATAAAACACTTCGTAAACAAACAAGGATCAGTAATCAATTATTTACTATTAGTGATATACTTGACATTAGTATGTAGAGATCAGAGATCATTATAATTAATGGAATTTAATTACATAAGCACTTTTTATCTTTTATAACCAACTTTTATCTAAACTAAAACAAAAATTTGCATGGTCAACCCATACCTTCCGTTGAAGGTAGAGAGTCCTATGTAGAGAGCTAGAGTTTAATTCTGATGAGGCGCTGTTAATCTGACATGCCACATGGCGTCATAATAATAAAAAAAACACAGACTATCTCATAATATTAACTTTTTTCATATATTACTGAAGATTATTCAAAGAGGTAAGTAAGGAAAATCGCCAACCATAGTCATACCTACAGAAGTAATTAATTATTAGTATCTGCAATACTCGTAGGATTACGAATATTATGACAAAATTTTCAAATTTATGTTAAAACTAGCGACTTATCAGTTATCTTCGCGTCGCTCGAATGTCTTGTTTTCGTCCCTGAGGGTCTTGTTGCCATACATTTTGCTTTATTTCAAACATTTAGGCAGCGCACGCCGATATAGCAACTCATTACTAAACGTTAAGTTATTATGATTACTGACAGTAAAAACATTTTTATTGAAATAAAAAATGAAAGAATTTTCAGAATCATATCAATATTTTTTTAATAATATCAACCCTACAAACTTACAAACTTTACCTCTTTATAATATTAGTGTAGATAAAAACAACTTTAAGAAAATATATATTTTATCAATTAAAAACAATATGATGTAAGAAATGAATCCTTAAATAGGGAAATTAATGTCTTTTAAAAAAAAATATTTTTTACTGTTTTTGGTCTAATTTCGCTGATAGCTTACTTTATTTAGCTTAAATAGGTATATATAATTAAACTCAATCATTTTATACATTTACGAGTAGCTACTTGCATAATTGGAACAATGCCTTTTTATCTTTTAGTAGGTATAGGTTGGGTTATAGCAAATTATCGTATCTGAGTTCGTATCGGATTTATTATTACGAAATTTTTCAAGGAAAGTGTAAGAGCTCAAAACGTGTGCACGTCTATGTAGGTTCGTTATTTGTTTTTTCATCAGAAACAAATGTTCTTTTGGTTTGGCTGTAAATGGGAAAATTCTTTTTATGTTGACTCCATGAACGAGTCTGTAATTCGTTCATGGTTGACTCATATGAAATATCTTTTGTTATATCTAAATGAGAAGACATAAAAAATTAACATCAAAAATTGTTAATTATTATAATATATTATAAGCATCCTATTATACTTCGATATAAAATATAAATTACTTATTATGTAAAGAGAACTGAGTGAGTTAATAAATTAAATTAAATTTTATTAGGTACATATTATAAAAACTACTTGTTTTTTTATATCTAATGCCAATTAGGTACGTTCTAACTTCTAGTAGGTATATGTTGATATGTTTGACCTATTTAAAACAATCGGAAAAGATGATTAGCTGAACAATTAATGACTTTGAGCATCTATAGGACGATTATTTCATCGTGTTTCTATGCAGTAGTGCAATCGAATGCAATCTAAAATAAAATGTTTCTAAAATACAATGTTATAGACTATTTTATCGTTCAAATTATTTTAAAACGTTTAAAAAGATTATTTTTAACAAGAACTGAAAACGACACCTTCAAATCCGCTTTAAGATAGATGATTTCTCTGTTCTCATCTTTGTCCGTAATTATAAAAATTAATTGTTTTTCTACTTGGGACTATATAAGTAGCTTTTTTGCAACAAATAACACAAATCTTTGAAACTTTTTATGAATACCAATTCCAGTCAAAGGTACCTTTCTCTATAATAGAAATCATTGTGTTTAATTCATCGAAAATATTATAATTTCGTTTGCGTTAAAGAAGGAAAAATGAATAAACACGCTTTTTCATTAATTGGTATTAAGGATCAAAAATATTTTAGTGTAACAATGAATATGATCCCTGTCATATTAGCATGTACATACATATGTAATTTATTTCTACTAGATATCTATTGTCACCACAATAATGTAAAAAACTAACTAAATGTTTCTATAATAATTATGTTTAGTCATTACTGACTCACATAATATTTATTATAGTGTCTTATGACTAAGCCATATTTGAGAAATCACATGTTGCTTGTTTACCATTACACTTTTATATTTTTTGTGAAATTTATATGAGACAACCCTTGGGAGGTCCAGGGAGTACTTCCCATGGTCCCACATAGACGTCTCCATCTATGAAAAGAGAAACATAAGCAATAAACATCGATTCTTTATTTGCGAAGATTTCGCTTGACACGGTTTGAGTAACTACATCCTTCTTATTTGAATTCGGCTTAAAAGGCCAATGCACTTATGTACTTCTTAAAATATATTTATCGTGTTGTTAAGGTAATAAATTACAACTGAAAATATTTCAGAATACTACTACGTGGAATCGATAATCGTGTCACGTCTTCTTATAAAATTATCTAAAGATTACCTATTTCTTGACTTTAGTAATTGTGAAAATATAAACACTTTTATGTATACTTATAGAATATAAATAGTTTCATAATATGTATGATTGAAATAGTTATTCCTGTGATTACATATAATGAACCTTTTTAAAACAAGTTGTTCGAAAGTCGGGTCTGGACGTGCTTTGGCATTGATCCAAGAATCTCATTATAGGATAATTCCGGTTGCTTTAATTACTTTTATATGTTGCAATATAGATTTTGAAATTATGGTCCTGGCTAAAATTAATTTATTACACGTTTATTGCTCTTGTTGTTTATAATATTGCGCACGTCGACGGTCGAGCATAAATCCCAGCTTCGCAATTGTTTCATTCCTAAACGACCTCCACGCTGCGGTAGTGGTGTTTTTTACATTTTATTATTTTTAATGAGTACAAACTGCAGTAACCTGATATATCACCGCAGTATAAACTCCTGTGAACATTTATCAATCAGCTTCTAAGTTACTGATGGATGTTCGTATTAACTAGATACTTAATAATTTAGATTGTTTATACATAGCATTT